TCCTGCACTGAATCAGATTCGATAAACAGACCTGTCTGATGAGGGCAGAGGTCACATCTGCTGTAGACAGTTATCCACATGTCATGTTCTTTACCTCCTGAGCTTCGACTACTGAGCCATCTGACTGAAACATGTCTGCACTTCAGACCTGGGTCAGTTATTAATTTAAAACCTTCCAGTTACCTTGACGTTCGGTCTGAGTCTGCTGGGAGTGAACATGGACGGAGTTTGCCGAATATTGCTTCTGCTGTGCTGGGCCTGACCAGTTAATCTCTGAAACAGCCACATTTCTGATATCGCTTCAATGTGGTTCTGCCGCTTGACGGTGAAGGGATTATCGATTACGGCTTCTCGTTCTCTTTGATCAGTTTGTTTTCTCATTTGATATCCTTTAGTAATGAAAACATGCACAGAAGTCATTAGGACTGTGGGAATCCCTCGACATTCGCCGCGTAGATATCACAGGAGCAGAAGAAAAGGTTGCTTCAAGTACATTGGTGATCAGCCGTGCATTCGGAAACAGGCAGTCTGGTTTGCCTTTCAACTTATAAGTCTTAAAATCTGTTTCTCACACACAGGAATGTATTAGATACAGCATTTTTTAAAATAATGAAACAGAAAATAATCATTAATACTATTATTTAAAAAGATTATGAGCATGCAGAGGGACTAATCTTGTTAATATCACTTATTAGCTAGGACTGGGTACAATTGTCTATCACAGTATGTGTTATTTTATACTGTAATATCAATGTGTTGTCATGTAGTAATATTTTCAAGAAAATTAAACATTTACATCTGTTTTTGCTTAATACAGAGATAAATGATTAAATGATAATGAAAATTTAAGTCCTATGTTGCCAAGAAGCAGTCCTGCTTAGTGAAGTCTAATACACCCAGGTGTTAAAGGGAGCTCAGTATGAACAATATAGTAGACAAATTCATATCTCACAGCACGCAGAATATATTGCTCTGCACTATTTGAGGAAATTAGAATTTAAGTTATTCTATTCCATAGATTTAGCTTTTATTATTTTTAACCTTATTCTGTTCCATTATGTGGATGATTCATCTTTATCTTTGATACTGTAAGCATCTTGAAGTGCTTTTCTGTATGTTGCTCCTTCTGCCTGAAACCTTCTGCAGTTACTGTAGATATAACATTTCTAGATTTGACCTCTTTGTGTTTTCAAATCATTGCTGCAGAAACTGAGTTCCCCCTCTGGCCTGATGTTTTGTGATATTTTAGAATTTACACAGTTGTATTAGAAAAGTTATTCATGCGTTTGTTTAATTCAGATTTTTTGGCATACATCCGTCTCATGTTGTATGTCTCCAACTCACCGATACTGATGCCTATCTTAACCATGGCATTTCAAATTTGACTTTTAATTTTAATGAGCCCTTCCTCAATTAATTAAAATGTTAAATATAAATATTGTTTAACACTTATTTTACCCTGACATGTTTAATTGATGGTTAACAAGCAACTTTATGGGCTGAGAAAATCCTGCCGCTCCAGGGTTTGTGAAGTCTTTTAAAAAGTAATTAGACAAACTATTGTGGAGCTTACAGCGAGACTGTTTTTCTTCATTAATGAAAAAACTCACAGATGCAGTGGCAAACCAATAGCCCAATTCTACAGGATGTTCACCTTTGTGTACGAGTATATGGATATTATATACCAATAACATATTATGGAAACATTGAGATATTATACATCTGCCTCTTCATGCCTAATCAAACTGTATGTGTGCTTCATGGTTGATGGGCCACTCATCCATCAAAGAGAAAGAGAAAGATTATCATGTTGAACAGAGAACAGCAGAACAAATGTGCACACCATCTCCAGCAGTGACTCTTGACTCTGATGTGCCTACATGCCATTTCCATTATTTTATTGTGGGAATTAAGAGCATTAACTCTGCGCGCAGCTCCACTTTAATTTACATAACAAAGGAACAAGGATCCTTGATGAGAATCCAAATCAGTTTGAACGCAGCAGCCAATGAAACTGGAGCTTTTTGACGGCTGTTAGCTGGTCACATGGGTGCATGGTATTTACATCTCTGTCTTTGTTAATGGAGGAAACAATCGTGAATTCTGCTCAGTGTGAAGCATTGGAAAAAACAACCACTCAGAGTCAGGTGGGACATTTCTCAAACTTTCTTTTAGAGAAATGGGCTATTTTGAGAAGGCAATTTTTCACTGTTACACCGGGTATAAATTGTCAATCAATTTTTGTCAACTTGGGTATGTCTCCAAACTCCTCAGTCCTCCCTCCTCAAGGCATGATGTTGATATTGGCCAGCTTCTGGTGTGACAGAAATCCTGGTTGCTTGGCAACAGATACGAGTTTAGAGTCCGGTGTGACTGTGACGACCAGGGTGAGAGGACAGCCTGACAAGCCTGTACTTCACGCACAAGCGCATACGCACATACGCACATACACACATACACACATACGCACATACACACAGTTGGATGTGTGTTCCTCATATGTTTCTTGCAGGAAAGGGGGGGATTAGACGGAGCCATCAGTAAACTCCTCTGGGAAGTGCTGACATTAAACAGCACAAGTGTTTGAGAGATCGATGTGGGTACCTTGGAGCAGCCATACCTCTGGACAACCATGTGCCCTTCATAACTGCACAGCCCCACATATGACACATTCATCATCAAAGGCAGCGGGAACACAGAGTGATGTGGAGAGCTGCGAGGAGGCCTTGGAACTTCACAGAAAGACAGAACTCCTCCACTGCTGCAGGGGTCCATGGCACCCAGCATGACAGATTTCATAGACAAATAAATACTGACTATAACGGCTAATAACCACATGGCAAATGGTTCATCATCATTAAATGTTGGCAGAGCCCTGTTGCATTGGTAATGTGATGTTCCCATAAACTCAGTTGCAGTTTATGGGGCACATCGTGTTCTTGACAAAACTTGCTGTTTGCAAAACGCAATTCATAGTCACCGTATCAAAGTTAAGCAGGCAATTCTGCAATGTTTCCCTCTGCGAGCTGCATACAATTCAGAAATAACATATCATACAACCTGTGTTTAAATAACCAGGTTAATCAGAGTTCATATGCAATGAAGAAACCAGTATTATTAATTTACTTATTTTGACATGAGTTACAGAAAAAGCTTTTTTTTGACTGTACAGTGACAGCATTATGTCTGAACTTCAAAAATGGTCAAATGTCCAGCAGTGAAAACAGACTTATCTAAACTTCCACAGGCTACTTTTCATTTTAGTTTCAGTTTGACTTAAGGAATTATTTTAAATATTCTCTTTGCAATGATTTTCTTTCTCATTTCATCCTGCCACTCTGTTGCCACACTTTCCTTCTTCAGTCTTTTGTCATGCACATGCGTACTTGTAGAAAGCAGATAAGAAACCTGGTTACCTGTGTGAAATGCAGAGAAATCAGCGTTCTTCAGAAGAAACCCGCCCGGAGAAACCAGGTTTCTCTAATCGGCTACTCCGATTATGGAAAGCAGGTTTCTTGTTTACGTGCCATTTAAGATATCATCTTATTGGAGAAACCTGACTGTAACCTGGTTACTTAAGTGCATATCAAAACACTGACTGTAATACAAAAATAGTACAAGTTTGCTCACAAGTAATACAATTATTATGTACTTTTACAGTATGTCACGGCTTTATCTTTACTTCTGGCTAGTACATTTTGACCAGTTATTTAAAAACTTGATTGTTGATAGTAGAACTCTTCATGAAACAACACCAGAAGGAAGATAGTATAGGGAATTGGTCTAATTTTATCAGTGTTGACTCACTGACAATCTCTACTTAATGATCCAAATCCACAAGCACTCCTTTGTGTGTTGACTTACTATTCTCAAAACAGGAGCTACAGTTAATGTTTCATACCAATTTATTGCCATTACTCACAAGAGCCTGGATCCAAAATGACTCAAGCATCCAGAACTGTGACTAATACACAAGGTAATGACATGACAACAGATTCTTCTTCCACCTGTATTCAACACAAACTCGACTTGGAAGTACAGCCACATGTTACTCTCTTAACTATTACTACAAAGCGAACTGAAGTTTAAACAAGCCTCAGTATGGGAGAGTATTTGTGTTAATTCATAAACTAGATCAGAAATCCTCACCTACAAAAGTGGTTGAATTGTTAGATACCCCCCTTGACATTTTTTTTAGGCAATTTATTCCTACATTTGGTGAGCAGCTGCATGTTAATTCCAAACCCCTGAAGACCAGATGGATAAAATGTTAGCACGGTGAGCTCTTTATCTAAAAAACAAAGGCAAAGCGTGCATATGAATTGATGCATTCCTGCTTACATTTCTATTCCCTGCTTTGAATATGTTACTTTTGTGTTTTTGTGAGAATGTGTGCAGACACGGATGGGTGTGTCCGTCTTCTTTAGTGTAGTTCTCAGTTGTTGTTGTGTCCATTATGGTGATAAATCTGGGCGTGCATTTGCATGTGTTTGTATGTGTGTGTGTTCCCGCTTCCCAGAAAAACCTGTCATTTCCACGGGTCTCGTTCCCAATCAGTTGTCAGGCTGTGAATGGGTGGTTTGAATTTGCAGATCGCTGCTGAATCACACCACATCAGTGTCATACATGTTTATGACACTGATGGCGGAGGCGGGGGATTGCAGCACAACAGAGAGAAAAACAAACAGGTCTCCAAGGTGATCGAGAAGATTTCTGAGACTGAAACCAACGTGCTTATTATGAGACAGGCAGGCTAAATAGGCTGGAGGATGAGCCAAGAGGCTGATGGAGCACAGTAATCACTGGCAAATTGCAAACCTTAGTTTCAGCATGAAAACACTTTACATAATGCTTCTATGGAGTTGTACATATCACACATCTGCAACAAACATCACCCAAAAAACAGTGAAAGCACTGCTCAACTCAGCTGAAAGAAAGTGTAATAATATTAATAGCACTGTAACTAATTGTATTAGTAACTAATATTGTTGCGTATGTACCTGTGGCTGGGTCAACAGTCCGCTCAATCAAGTGGTCGTCCTGGTGAACCCACTCGCCGTTGCACTTGAAGTAGATCTGCGTAGCTGGGGTGGAGCGGCAGGTCAGCGTCACCGGCTTGTTCTTCACAATGTACTCGTCCTCTGGCTCCACCAGGAAGTGAGGTAACAGGTCCGAGAAGGCGGCAGGAAGTGTTGCTGTGGCGGCGTGCTCGGAGCCTTTAGAGAATAAAAGAAGCAGCGGTTATAGAGGGATGCCAAATAAAACTGAAAACGCTTTTAAGTTTTCAAGTTGTCATGAAGGCAGGAGCTGAACCTCTCTTGCTTTGCCGTCATGACAGCTCGACTAGTGAGTGAAAATGCAGCAGATACCAAAAAATCTAGTGCAGAGATTCAGTGTCCTTGGTGAATTGCAACTCATACATGTGCATATGAAAGAGGCAGACAGAGACAGATGGACGGAGCGAAAAAGAGTCTGTATGGAGGAAAGTTGGCAGTGACAGAGCTTGGTCTTGTGAGTTCTTGGGGTAGTGGGGTTCATGGCTTCACTCCGGCTCTTAATCACAGCCCTTTAACATCATCGCTGATGGACCGACAGCCATAAATCCCATCTCGGCGACTAGGCCACTTCACACTCTGTTATACGGCTCTTCAACCAGGACTCTAACTCTGCCCACATTAAGCAAGACAGGGCGAGAGGCAGAGGTGACTGGCAGCCAGTTACACTTAAAATCACTTCCTATATATAGTAGATGTTGTTTTATTCCTCCAGAATCGAATGACATGTAGAAGGTGTGGGGAAAGAAGAGGGAAGATACATCTCCACTGTGCGGAGATACAAGAGCTGTCCTTCAGGGGGACAAACCTACGATTTGCAGCAAACTTTGCAAGCGCTGAAAAATGCTTAATACAAACGCTGAATGACACAATGGAGCCTACAGCGTACACATCCTTCCTCTGTGAACACAGTTTCTCTCTCTCTAAACATATTAGCCTTGCGCGAGAGATAGCAAGAGGACACGGAACTGAGTAGAAAGAGGGAAATAACCTCTTTACACCACCAACACTCGGGGGAGACCAGTAAATCCCAAAATAAAACCCCTTTAAAAGGAGTGTAATATTAATTTACTGCCCTGAATCCAATATGGCTGACAGACCAGGCATTAACAACCTTCTCCATCACTCCCTGTGCAGCAGGAGAGTATGGGAGTCCACATCTCTCATAATGAAACAGCAACACTCACTCTGACCTTTCCCTCCTCTCTTCCTTTCCCCTCCCTTACCCAGCCTTCGTTCATCTTTGCAGCTTGCTGATGCCCAGGTCAGGGATAATATTACGTTGTGTCATAAACACCTATCTTTGGATAAAGACATTATCTGTCAGTTCCTCCCCCACTACACATTATATTAATGTCTCTCTTTCTTCTCCTATTTTTCTTTTACCCTTGTGTGCTGAGTTGCTAATTTATCAAGATGAGATACAGTGAAGCATGCCACTGCTGCTGCTGCTGAACCCCATTAATGTTTCGTGTACATGTTTAACTCTTAATGAAAACTAAATGTTCTGTGTCCAATGAACGACATAGATCACTTGCTGACACTTTGCCTTTTTCCCCATTTTCCAAGCACATTTTCTTATTACAACACATTTGCAGAGGAGAGAATGTCATTAATATGGCAGCTCCCTATTCAGGACAACACAAACGCCTGACATTTTTTACTATGTAAGCGAGTGTGTGTGAGAATGGTCTCATGGTGTTGAGGAAAAGGCCACAGTTCATCATGAATAGTGAGTATAATTGCTCTAACGGAGAGCCAAAACTTTGTTAATAAACAGTGTGGGACCAGTAGGTCAGGTTGTTTGAAAGTGTGTTGGTTCTAATGATGGCGGCTTCTTCTAATGGGCCAGCTTCCAGCTTTGTGACCACAGCCATTAGCCAGCCGGGCTGACCCTCTGTACTCCCCGCAGACTGAAGACGACGGCTCACTAAAACAGTGGGCGAGACTCACCTCACACCTGCCAGGTTAATCATCTCATAGAGGACAGATGATGTTGAAACTGAGAGTGAAACCAAAGCCACCTGAGACACTGACGAGTTGCGAGAACGGCTTGATGAGCTCCTGATGTTGTTAACTCGCCGCTGGCTTCTCATTTGCAAGGGGTCACATTCAACATGAACTCTCAACTTTTGATGATGTTTCCAATTTGTGTTTGTGTGTGCACGCTTGCGTGTGTCACAAGGGGTGGGGGTTAGTCTTCCATTTTAGTACATGCACTTTAGGTTAATGAGGTTAAATGCGTAATTTCTTTAGAGAAGTAAATTGTCATTTTATGGGAGGGCATTCTAGTCACGCACTGCTTTATATCAAACCCATAATGGAGGGCTGATGCGTAGTAAATTGGCTTAGATTATTGTCACGACACAATGTACTTCAAAGTCAACGTGCGCGCACACACACACTCACACACACACACACACACTCACACACACACACACACACACTCACACACACACTCACTCACTCACTCACACACACACACACACACACACACACAGGGAGTATCAGCCACTTAACAGACTTCTTGCAGGTCAATGCACAAATCAAATAGACATACAGCTGCACTATGGACACTGCATTAGATTCCACTGAATGTGATTGTCTAAAACCACTATTAATTGTCAAATGCATCTGAGTCTATTACAAGATCATTTAGTACACACACACACACACACACACACACACACACACACACACACACACACACACACACACGCAGGATGTTAAATGTCTCCCTTGTTGATCATTCGGCCAATCAAGATGACTTAATTGATGCAACATGCTGGATGTGTTGCTGGGGCCCAGTAATCATTACGCAACTCATGCAAACATTTTCATGAAACGAATCCAAAATAATAATTAAAATCTTTGTACTTTTTAAAAAAGAAACACATCTGAGGTTGTGACACGATATTTGTGTGCAGCTGTCATTCTCTCAAGAGACAATTCAAGTGACCTAAACACACGCACACACAAACACAGAATCACACACATATGCACAAACACAACAAGGGTGCACCAGGTGTCAGTGTGCTGAGCCATGATGTCCAGGGCATATTCTCTGCTACACTCTCCCCATGTCTCATCTGCCCAGCTGACCACATCAACTCCCATGTCAGGGACCAAGCACATCCACAAGAGGAGGAAATGAAGCATCTTTGTCAGAAACTCTCAAAAGTATATATTTAAAAATACATCAGAAACAGTTAGATTCCTGTAACTGCTGTAACTATATACGCACGTACCAATGCATTTTAGAGAGCATGCCGGATTAGATTTTCACAAATGTTGCAGCTTTGTAAACGTTTTTTGTTACCATTCATCTTCAATATTTCATAATGATTTTTACTTTAATGTCACTTACTGTATATCTTTTTTGTATACACAAAAATGTCAAGTCTTATTTTGAAAGGAAGTTCCTCATCCCCACTTGTCCTCTTCTCGTGTCAGTGTGCTACGTACTGTCGACTTGTGTTATCGCCATTGTAAAATAAGCATTTATTTTTTAATTTCACTCCTTATTATCTACTTGGGGAACAGAATTGCTGAATGCACTGCAGTATGAGGATGTCAGCAGGGAGAAAAGCCATAGCTGGAGAGAAAATAACCCTCTTTTGTGTTCCTCCCTCATGGCACCAACACATCGTGTGCCCTTTGGAGCCAATTACACTTTTTTTTTTCTTTTTACAACGTCATGTCCCCAGAGGAAAGCATCATTGAGCAATCACTGGGCATAATTTACATCACAGTGATGAACAGCAGCTATAACAAGTGTTTTATGACACCATCAGCGCCTTACAATGTCCTCTGAAATTAATTCAATTAAAATTACTATCCAGAATATTAAACCATTTTATGTTTAGCTGCCATTAACAACAAAGCCAAGACCAAATATGTCACAATCACTTTGTTGGTTGATGTTTTTCTTCACAGTGCTTGCATTTGTTTAAGCAGCATTCTGGATGATTATTTTATGCCATTGAGTATCTTCATTTGGTAATCACTTTAAATATAATGTATGTACACTGTGGTTCTAGGCACAGGAGCATTGTTCATGTATAGTTTGAAATTCTGTCAGTAAGTCTCTGACAACATAAAGGTTGGAAGTGATCCAACACAGGGAACGAAGCAGAAATGGGATGAGTAAGAAAAAAAAAGCTCCTTCCACCATCATATATAATCTGGAGCATGGCTGACTGATGTATGTTTGTCCCCAGATGACAAATATTTACTCCTCCACATGTCTGGGATTCAGAATACATTTTTCAATGAGACAACCATGCTTCAACAAGCACTCCTTCAACCACACACACTCATTCTCTGTCAAACACACACACACACTCCTGTACACTGTACACACGCATTTAATGGAGCTGAAACACACCAACTAGAAGCTAAAACAAAAAAACATGCGCACGTACGCAAAATATAGACCGCAAGCATGCAAAAAAGGAAAAAGTTGCTCACAAACAGCTTTCTCTCGATCAATGAGAGACGCAGAATTATGCATGCAATCGAAAATGCAGGTTTGCACAGAAATGCTCAAACAACAACATATTCAGATACGGTACAATATCCCTGGTCATTAAGGTTGGTGTGAAAAACAATCAATCACTGGCACTGAAAATACACTTGTATAAAAACAGCTCAGATGTATTAAACATTTAGGAGAGATGGCACCCATAGCAACCCAAACTTAATCACATCACGTTTGCATCTGTAGTGAAGGATACAGAGAGGCTTAAAAAAAAAAAAAGTCAGGGAATGAAGGACAGAAGGAGAGGAGGGGACTGGGAGGACGGTGGTGAATAAGTAAATCAGTCTCACACATGCCACATGTGACGTTATTGCAATCTTGTCCAATTTAAATGAATAGAAAATTGGCTGCTAAGCATGTACATTGATGCAGGGCTGTACATCTGTGTGCATATATTATTTCAGGATACTAATACCACGCTGCCTACACCGCTCCCTGATGAGAATATTTCCATGATAGATGCACTCCTGGAGCTCAGGTCACATCATTGCCATCAAAAGCTGTCGAGATAAATCATTTCTACCCAAACAGGAAGCACTTTGAATGATTAAATGCTGTTTTTCTAGTCGTGCCATTAAACAGTTTTGCCAACAAAAGAAAAAAGTTTGTGCTGTTAGTTGTG